ATTTGACATGGTAGAAACTGCTGCTACGGTTTCATTCGGAATCACGATCCTGTGACATTTTTGCACATTAAGTGCAAACAGCATCACCGACTACCTGAACTGGGAAATGTGTCTTAAAACTTAAATGTAAAATAAAACTGTACGGACACATTAATGTTGGAACTTAATGACATTTCCAAAACTCATCTCTTATCTGGGTTTGGGGACGGGCAGACAGAAACTCTCAGACAACAGTGATTTTGTTTTAGACATTAAAAAAACTTGAAGCACTCAGAGCGCACCTCCACCAATAGGGTCACTCACGCAGTAAGATCTTCTGCATCTTTTTTTTTTTTTATAAAAAGGGCAAAATGATCAAATATGATCATTGTCTTATCTGGCAACGCTGCAGAGGACTGTGTTGCCTGTTGGGTAGGAAAACACAAACGTATTTGAAACTTCTTCCATCGTCAGGTGAAAGTGTGCAAACAAGACTCTTTCAGAAACCTGCAGGGTGTAACGAGGTCAAGTCGGGTTCTTCTTTGTTGAAACATTTAGTCTTTTTTATCCAAAATACTTTGTTATCTGTATTATTGAGCATGCATCAGGACTAAACTGTGTTAGATTTTATTTGTGAGTGAACAGCAGTTTCATATCATTAGCTGCTAAGTCAGTGGGTAGTGCTAACACGGACTTTGCTAAGATGCTAGTGATGATCTAACTCATGTGCAAGGCCTGAGTGACACAAGGAGCAGGCCACGACAAAAGTCAAATGGAGCCAGACGGGTTGCCAGGTGGAGGATTTAGCTGAGAGTCTGCTGTGCAGATCTAGCTGGAAGGGTGACTCACTGTTCTTCTGCTTCATCATTCTGCTTCTGCTACCTGCACTTGACGTGTGCAGCAGCTGCTGGTACATATTTTTATTTTGCCTGTGGATTCAATAGCCGTCTTGTGTGAACTACAACGCACACGATTCAGGCCTGCTATGAAAAGAACTGGTTTTATTTTATATTGATGTGGTTTAATTTGATGTTTGGAACAAAATGTTCCAATGGTTTATTTCTGTGTAAATAAGCAAATAGTTCAAAAGTAAAACTAAAAGGTGTTTTTAGTTTTTTTTTCACATTTTGCTAAAGTTTGTTATATATAACAGTAATAGGGTGTGTGATATATTTTGAGTGAAGGTAAGTTTATAGAATACAAGAAATGTGTGTGTTAAGATTAGATTATTGGTAATCCATTGCTATTATTGTTTAATCACTTTTTTTTTTGTGAAAAGACAAATATATAAAAGGTAGAGATACAGTTTATTTAAATAACTCAGGATTCCCACCCCTATTAACGCCAGTACAGCAATTACAACAATATTTATTTATTCATAAAAGAAAAAAACATTAAATTTAAATTTCAACAAATTCAAGTCTGTTTAGGAACCTGTGGGCTTACACTGGCATCTATTGGCTAAAAGAGGAAGTGGCTGGATGATGGATTCTCAAAAAAAAAAAACATGATTAAAGAGTAAAAGTCTTGAGTTTCAGGTTACATTTTACAAACTTTATATTGTTTGTACCATGAATAAATAAAAATAATCAAATACTATTGCATCTGTGTAAAATCGGTGTAACTCAATCCAGTGTCGGAGCAATGTTCGGGCTTTTGGGTTAATTTTTCCATTAAATTATTTTGATATAGCAAATTTTGTTAAAAGTAGATTATTCCTCTGTTTATGAAACAAGTTTTTAAGAAGTTTTTTTCAGAATGTAAAATAAGTATTACTCCTTCAACCAGAGTTGAGTTAAATTAAATTGGCAAATCTTTAATAAACCAAATTGAGCATCTACAAAGTAAATGAGAAAATATTTAATTCCTGTCCAGCCTTTGTTTCTTCATCCTCCTTTCTTTCTTCCTTGTCATCCTCCACAGGTGGAGCAAGCATCATACTGGTGTGTAATGGTGTGCTGTCAGTGTGGGCCGCGGCGAGGTGTGTGGAGGAGAGCGGCGCGTCTCAGATGAGATATGTGACTGGCATGCTAACACTCAGTTTTATCTGAGGAAAGAGAGAGAGACAGGGCTCCCACATCTTCTCAGTAGAAGCCTTTGATTAAAGCTCCCTGGGTGAACACACATGGACACACTTCCAGAAACACACAGATGGGAGTGTGTGTGCATGCACTTGCTCAGATTATAAATAAATTGCAGGTAGGAGCACACACACATACTGTATATGCACCTACACATCTGCTCATCGTGGGTGGTGTTGTTTTGACCTAAGCCAGGTAGCTTGTCCATTATGGAGTTGATAGAAGGATTTGGTCATGTTGATTCTAGACAACATCATCTCCTCTGCTATAAATACCATGATGCTTTTTTTTTTCTTCCCTGAGTCGCACAACAATATACAGAGGAAAAGAGCTCTCAGCTTTATCCTCCAATCTCATCCGCTGTAAGTAAACCTGCACACAAATACACAAACCCCAACGAAAATGACTGGGAAGGCTTCTGCGGAAAGCAAACCGCAGATGTTAAACATGCAGTCGGTCGATTTCAGAGTTACCGTTTAGGTTCAGCGTTCGTCACAAAGTGTGGAAAGCGGTTAGATTTTTAGATGAACAGCATCATCCGGCGGCGTGACAATAAAGCTCTGTAAACAAAGTGCACGACCAGAACCAACAGGGCTGCAGTGAAGCTCGACGGCTTCCGCCAAGGAAGCAATCGGCACATCAGAATTATTGCATGTGGGGAAGCGGTTCTGAAATATGTTTCTGACAATTTGTCATCATCTGTCTGCTGTGAATATTTTATTTGCTTTCAGCTGATCAAATAGCAGCAGGTATTTTGAACAGGAATTTTATTTTTATATCAAACATTTTAATTTTGCTTTTTTTTTTTTTATTATAACTAGAAAATGAAGGAAAGCACACTTTATACACCACAGGACATATTTTGTAATTATTACCCCCATTCTGCTTGCAAAACCTTTATTTTGATACTATCCGCCCACCAAAATGTATTGCAGACTAAGCACATCACAACAAGGGAACAGCATTTTGCTACAGAAGCAGCTTCCCCTCAGATGCAGCAATGGGACTCACAAAAAGTGTTCAGGATTTCCCAAAGTGCACAAGAACAGGGCTAAGGTGCTCATTCCACCTCCAAAATCTTGAGACGCCACACAGAAACGGTCTGAGCATCTGGAGGCTTAAATCCAATGAACCAAAAATCCATTTCACAATCCAATGGACCCCAAGCATCAAATGTTAATATCTCTGGGGAAAAAAAAACTGTACAATCTTAAACATATTACATTTATGACTGGTTATTATAAGAAATTAAATAATAAAAATAAAACGACCACAAAATGTTGCTTGGGATGGAGAAGTACAAACAGTTTGATGTATTGTTACATATCTACACTCAGATTTATTGAGCAATGTATGCAGCTAAAAAAATCAGGGGGTTCCGAACCCAGATCCTTGAGGAACACCATTCTGCATGCTTTAGTTGTTCCTCTGCTCCGACGCACCTGATTTTAAATTGATGTGTGATTAACAGGCTCCTGCAGAACATGAGGAAGTAATTAAATCACTGAATCAGATGTGGTGGAGCAGGAAAACAATTAACACATGCAGGATGGTGTTCCTCAAGGACCAGGGTTGGGAACCATTGGTTTACATTAAGTTCATACCTGCATTTCAGAATTAAATAATAAATCTGGAAAACTACTGGAATAAACAGTTTCCAACTGTACCAGCTGAAAAACTAACCTGTGTTTGTATTTGATTTGAGATTTTACAATAAAGACCTTTTTTTTTAAATGTTAAATCCATAATCCAGAAAATAAATAGTTTTGATGATTGGATTACAGCAAAGGTTAATTTAAAACCGCATATTCACCTACAGCTGGAATTTCACACTGAACTGTGATATTTTAACAGTAATATTTGTTCTGTAACATTTGATTGGAAATATTTTGTATATTTACATGTTTTTTGTTGAATTCCACATTTGATCAGTGATTTTTTTTAAATATACATGTATAAAATTATTTTTAAATGTTAACACATACGTTGCAAAATGAAATATATAAACAGAAAATCAAAAATTTTAACAAACCAAGAGCTTTAAACACTTTGTCATTAAGCCACATTGCCTCAATGAGATATCCGAGACCACGGATAAGCAAAACATGTTGCATCACTTTATTTTGAAATGCAGGTAAAATAAGGTTTAAGGTTGAAATCCTACAAGATTTGATGCTCACGTGCAAACATTTATTGGGCTGGATGTGGAAAACTAAGTGCTGCTATTCATGTGCTTCATTTCTGGATTAATGCAAACAAATTAAAGTTCAGTCATCTGCACATGACGATGATTTCATTGTGCCGTGATGCTCTGTGAGTTCTTATTTTCACTCTTTCAGCTTGGAGTCCAAATTTTGTTCTGATTCAGGTGAAGTCCGAGAGGTGTGATTGGACGAATTCAGACTGTAACACATCGGCGTGGTTTCTCCTGGTTTAAAACCATCAAAGCAAACTCCAGACCTCACGCCAGCACACTCTTTGTTCTTGGCATTGGGGTCAGATGGAAAGCACAAGAACAAATATTTATTGGGAAAAACCCAAGAGTCCTAAAATCAAAAACTCAACATAGTGAATGAGATTTCAAATAAATGACTATTTGTGTACTTTTGCATGTCTGCACACAGTTGATGGACATCCTCTGGACCGCTGCATCACTCCAAAAACAACCCAGCTTGTTGTATCTGTGCAAGCGCTGCAGGTGACATCATGTTTACCTTAGTGGAACGACTTTAGGAATGATGTGGTCGAGATGGTCCAAAATCAGCTCTTAAATTGCATCATGAGACCATCACACGTAAAACATCATGTTTTACAGCATAGATTAGGCTCTCTTGCATTAAAAGCGTCGTTTGGCGTTGCTTTAGTTGGAGTCGGGTTATTGTTGCAGCAACATCACAAAGGAACGAGGCAGAGCAAAGTCCGTTTTTTTTAATATAATTTTTCACTTTGATTACAAACTGGAGGCAAGAAAAGGGATCTCATGACCGGACAGAGTCAGGGGTCCTTGGCTGTGGAAGACGATGGGCTGGCAGGAGGACACAGAGGCTGAGGAAAGTGTTTGTACATGTCTGTGGCAGGATCCTGGGGGGGCGATGGGATGGGAGTGTCTGGTGATGCTGCAGAACGAGAAGCAGAGGAAGACAGTTCAGTCATTTCCTGATCAGGTTTTAAAAACATTTTAAAAAGTGGCCTTTGCTTGGTGTTTATACGTGTGGCTTCTGATTATTTATTTACCAGTGGTGAGCACAGCTCCACTAATCAACTATCAGATAATAGCAGAACTATTTTTTTTTACGTTTTTGCCAACTTTGGAAACCGTTAGCGGAATTAGCTTCTACTAAATTAAGTTTCACCAACTTAAGTCTAACAAAATTCACAAACTCGTTCCTGTTTGTTGTGGGAGTGCATCAAGGATCAGCTCTGATGGACAAACTAAAAGATGCCGGACAGGAATCCCCGTGGACTATGATGTTTGCAGATGACATTATGGTCTGTGGTGAGAAAAGGGAACAGGTGGAAGAGAACTTGGAGAGGTGGAGGTATGCACTTGAAAGAAGAGGGATGAAAGTCAGCCATAGTAAGACAGAGTCCATGTGTGTGAATGAGAGGGAGGAGGTGGAACAGTGAGGCTACAAGGAGCAGAGGTCAGAAAGGTGCAGGACTTCAAGGACTTGGGGTCCACTGTCCAGGAACATGGAGAGTGTGGTGAAGAGGTGAAGAAGAGTCCAAGCAGGATGGAGTGGATGGACAAAAGTTTCAGGAGTGATTTGTGACAAAAGAGTGTCAGCAAAGGTTAAAGGAAAAGTTTACAAGACAGTGGTGAGACCAGCTATGTTGTATGGTCTGGAGACAGAGACATGGACAAAAAGACAGGAGACAGAACTGGAAGTGACAGAAATGAAGATGTTGTCAGAGGTACAGCACAGGTTGAACAACTGGGAGATAAAGTTAGAGAGGCCAGACTGAGATGGTTTGGACATGTCCACAGGAGAGACAGTTGCTATATTGACAGAAGGATGTTTGAAATGCAGCTGCCAGGAAAAAGACAGAGGAGATATGATGGATGGAGGAGGACGACTTGCTGTGGAGACATCTGAAGAGGGAACAGCTGAAAGAAGTAGTTCCTGTTTGTTGTGGGCGTGTCTCAAAGAGTCCGTTAGGCATGCTATTGGCTTACTATGTGCACATGTGACAAGATGCGATTGGTCGACACAGCTTCAACTGGACGGAGACGACGACGTGACATAGACTGTGACAGTCGTCTTAGCGTTAGCTTGTGCAGATGTTTTAGTTAGCTGTGCCTCACCACGGTTCTCAACACATACATCATATTTTTGCTCGTGTTTCTGTGTGTTCATTTTTGTATTTTAAAATTAGCAAAATATCTTGTGAACCACTGGCTGGATTTTATTTAAATTCAGGATATAGCCAGTGAATGCTGCTACGACGTATTAACTCTTGGATTCAACCCCATTTACGATGAGCTCCACAGAAAACCCACGTCGGTGGATCTTACCGATTTGTGGGATGTGAGCAACAGGCATGGTGCTGATGACAAGGGTGTGTCCAGTCACCGGGTCCTGGGCCAGCTGGGTGTGTGCTGGGTGGTGTAGGTGTGTGGGCTCTGTTGTTAGCCCTGAGCAGAAAACACAAGCTCTTTTTAAATCAACTCCAGGATTGTAACCACATCACAAAACCAGACGTTTTACATGCATCCTCAGCTGTGCGCTCGGTGAGAAGCCCCCATCAGTGTCGCTCACTCCACACGTCTAGGAAATAGTTTAAATTCATATTTATATTCTTCATTTTCTTAAACTACTTTTGAAGAGTGGCTGTTGAAAAGAGAGCGCATTTCTCCCAGCGCCACATGCACATCCCTAAATATAATCACAGCATTCGAATTGCAAAAGTTTTGTTTTTTTTATGTACTATTTCTACATTTTGCAAGACGCTCTAAAGAGAAAATGCTGCTCTTGCTGTAAACTGTCATCCACGTCAGGTTTTTGTATCCTGGATATTTTTTTAGCACGTTTGGTGAAAGGTAGGGGGTTATTTTTTATCTTGAATTGTTTGTAGCCCCTTTGAGAGTACATCCAATGTATTCTATTTGTTTTGTTTCATACACACTATATGTGTGGAAATGTCCCTGACACTGCATCATGCAGATAGTACAATCAGCCGTTGCCTTTTTTACAAATTTGGATTATGCAAAGACTACTCCTCAGCAGAATTTACAACTTTTTAAGCTCCCTGTAAATATCCCAGAAAACTTTCCCTAGCTTTTATACTTTTCCTCCCCTACAGTGCCTCATGGTTCACCACATTCGCCCTCCGCTGGAGCCCCTTCTTTGCTGGAGGTCACCCTGTAAGCACGCTGAATTCCAAGCACAAACGCTGTCCCGCCTCACCTCCCAGCAGCATCTCGTGTAGCAGGTTGTCGATCTTGGCCAGGCCGCAGAGCTTAATGAACTGCAGCTGTTCAATCATCTGCCAGGTGATGCTCTGCAGGGTGGGCAGCAGGAGTAAAAGCTCCCCAAAACGCCCCCTGGAGTCATACTGCCGGTCGTTAATATAGTCTTCTAGACTCATCTGAACCTGCAAACATGAGGAATCCATCGCAGCGTATTGCCTTTTTTTAAAAATCTTTCAAATCAAAGCTGAATAAAGATGCAATGATTGTTCAAACTGTAATAAACACGGTACACAAAGTTGCAGTCTTGCAATAAATTTTGAAAATTAAATGCGTGGCTCACCTGCAGCCTCATAGCTTTAATTTTTGAGGGGTCCCGCAAAGATTTGGCATCTGCAGATTGGAGAGGAGGTGGGCAAATAAAGGAAGGGACGGATAGAGGACAGGATTGAAGGACAAGACAGAAAAAAAAAAACAGATCAGGGATGTAATTGAGGATACGGCTGGAACTGATGGAATGATTATGCTCAAACTGGGGCATCAGCACAAAATGAGGGGATTTATAGAAGGAGCTGAGAAAGGGGAAGTGGAATCACAGGATCAGGGCAGGGATAGTGGTCAAACTGTCAAGGAAGGAGGAGATTGACATCTAACTATGAGGGGAAATTTAATCTAGATATAATAGTGTATTTTTTTTATTTCTTTTTACAATTATTGAGTTAAAACATTAGTTATTATCCATCCTTACTGCTGTTTATTTTAATTATAATTATAACATTGAACTTGCTCTGTATCTGACTAGTTATTACACTTTTAAAGCTATTTTTCCAGGATTGCAAGCAACAAAAGTCCCACTTTTGAGGTTCAATGTGTGACATCTAGTGGCACAAAAAGGAACTAGAAGCTGCAACTTCCACAAAAACCATCAAATGGCCATTTTAAATCAAGTGTTTGCTTATGTTTTATCTGGGCTTCAGTAGTAAGATGTTATAGACAAATTAAAACATAAGAAAATGCCATTAGATTGATTTAAGTCTTAGATGGGGTTACTAAGAATGGACCAGCATTAACAATATCTGGTTCTGTCTATGCAACATTTCTACTGTAGTAAAAAATTAAGGTGTTCGGGAAGATGCTCAGCTACTACACCAAATTTTAGATCAAAGTCTGTAAAACTGGACAACACTTTTCTTAAAGAATGTTTAGTGGATCATAAGAAATTTTATTAGCAGAGCAACACACTCACACAAGTAATTACCGTAATTACTGGACTATAAGCCGCTACTTTTTTCACACACTTTGAACCCTGTGGTTTATATAATGCTGCAGATAATTTATGGATTTTTTTTTTTTTTTTTTTTTTGACAGGCTAACGAGCTTCCTGCCTCCAAAACATTTAACCTCGTCACACCCGGGCACTCGCAAAGCTGCCCAATACACCTCTTTTGAGGGGTGGGACATCATGACTTGATGAGACTACCTGTAAAAATAAAATTTGACCAGTAAAATTACCGAACAGGTCACAGTGGACCAATGAAACTTTGAATTACCGTAAATGAAACGCACTTCATGAACACACCCTCCTCATGAAAGATGCACGAAAAATTCAGATGATGCAACTTTCAAGTTAAAGCTGATCAATTTGGCTGATGAAGAAGGAATTAGAACTAGGAGTTACCTGGTAAATTACTGTATATATTTATTTTTTACCAGCCTCGTTACAGAAAAAACTTTCACTATACGTATTTGCGTATGTTACTGTACATATTTAATTAAAAGTTGTTGTTTTTTTATTATCTTTGCGTAAATATCTCCTGTTACAATGAGAACACCTGCAGCTTATAGACATTTTTTATTTATTTAGTGGGCGTGGCAGGGTGTGCTCAATAGTTCAGAAATTACGGTACATGATTACTGGCTTTTTGTTGGAAATAATGCAGACTATATATTCATTTTGTTGATACATTTAGTCTGTTTTTATGGTAAATCAAATACTTGGAAAAACACCCTCTAGTACTAATCATGTTAAATTCATTGTTAAACCCTTATTTTAAATGAACACCATTTTATTTTACTGTGAGACTCAGTAAGCATATGTAAAAAAATCAATGTATTTGATGCCTGTGTTGAGATACTTGTGTGTATTATTACCTGGGTCAAAGAAGACGATCGCCTTCAGCGCTGCGTACTCGTTCTCATCTATCTGAATCTCCTGGAAGGGCTGCACCAGCTCGTCTAAGACTCTGTTGGCGACCCTGAAAATCTCTGGTTCGGGGCTGTTCCTGTGGATCACGCTGCCATTCCCTGCAGAAACGGAGCGCAACGTTGGAGGCGGTGTGGAGCAGAGTTATGTGGAAGAGAGACGCGTGCGTATGTACAAGGTGGGGCACTTGTTGGGATTGTTGCAGCCTTGAGAGGTGATATTTAAATAGCTTTAGTCAAAGCAAACAGATGTCTGTAAGGTATTCTGATCCATAAAGTATGCCTGAGTGTTTGTAGGTGGGACCTTTTGTTTACTGTATGATGTTGCTCCACACTTCATCAGTTCATAATGAAAAAAAAAGAACACTTTTTAATGTTACAACTCCAAAAGAAAGAAAACTAAACCTTTTTTTTAGTTAATCATTCTTGGTTTTCACACACCAGCGCAGACGCGCATGATTTCACCACACGGGAATAAAATGGTGCATTAATGGTTGGTGTCTACCTAAAAGCAGGAAGTCCTTGAACGGCATTGACCTTCTGGCGACTCCGAGCAAAAGGTGCTCACCTGCATGAGCCCTGAGCAAGCTCACCTGGGGACACATAATCAACCAATCAGAACAAACGGGCCTGCAGTCGCTTCATTTTTCCATTATCTGAGTTTCACCTTCAAAATGTAAAGAGAACCATAGTGTCAGCGTCGGTGGATGAAATTAATTATACTTGATGTCGTCATCTTAACATTTCAACTATGACTATATGTAAACAAAAGTATAATGACAGATCACCTAAATTTATATTATGACCTGTTACCTGATCATCCAATGGCAGCTCTCCAAAGGCAGGGATGTATTTGGCCCATTCAACCAAAACCAACAGTTGCTGCCTCATAGATTCACATATATCCCCTACAGTGGCTGATTTCAGCTCTGATATGTCTGCGAGACCTACTGGAGTAGTGATCTGCTGGAAAATAGGGGGTAAACATGTGTCGCGTATGATTTAAGTTATGACTAACCTACAAACATATTGTAGGTCTTCCGTATAAATGTAAAAAAAATAAAGGAAATCTGAAAAGTCTTGTTACCTGTTGGGATAATGATTCAGCCTGAGCTAAAACAGTGATGGGTGGAAGGTCTTGGGAGTCGGAGATAACTCTTCGGGAGCTGATCCGATCTCTTTCGTTCTGTACAGCTAAAATATAAACATATATTTTTATTCATTCAGTGTGTATTTGTAAAACAAATGCAAAATACATTACAATACATTGACATGTTACGATACACTATTATGATATAATACGATATGTTATGATATCTTATCATATGATATAATACGATATGTTACGATATCTTATCATATGATATAATACGATATGTTACGATATCTTATCATATGATGCAATACGATATGTTGCGATATATTATCATATGAC